GTACCGCGTGCACTGTCTTACCTAGAGCCTCGCTGCTGCTGGGCCCGTACCCGGGGACGGCGCCCAGCGTTACTGTGTGGACAGCTAGGCTCAGAGAGGCACAGCTGCTAGCTCACGGTCACACAGCCTTGGCCGTGGCAGTCTGGCTTCCTGCAGACCGCGCCTCTCTTCTGCTCAGCCCCTTTGTGCTCAACCCCGATGACACCAGCCGTGCCCGACTCGAGGGTGTTTGTCCAGCCTAGGTGGACATGGCCCTGAGCCGGGTGCAGGGTAAGCAGCTGCCCATTTCTTGTGAACGACTAGGGTAGATATGGGACCTGTGGCTGCTATTGCAAAGGTTTAAAGTTTGCATTACAAATTATGAAAGTTCTTTTCGGAACAGATAGGACCTTTGGAATATTTAATGCTCTATGTGGATGACAGCAAGTGGATTAGCAGCACCCAGGAAGATGTGAGCAGAGATGGGAGGAGCTCTGGGCACTTCAACTATGCTGGAGCCAGGGACCAGCCCTGAGCTGCGGGGAGCGGACGCTGGTCCCCTCTTTTCTGGCTCGTTGGCGTCATCTATGGCATAAGAGCCCCAGGCGGCCCTGACATTTTGGCCAGCGCAGGCGATCCTGGAACAGGGAGGCGCGGGAGGTCACCGCGCTGCATACGTGTCTCCCGCGGCCCGCAGGCGGTGACTTCGACATGGGCAGCAGCCGCTGTCACCGAATGGCCAGGGCCAGACTTTGAAGGAGCCATGAAAATGCTCGTGACCGCCCGCGACCCTAAAAAGCCGCGTGTGAAAGAGAGCGCGTTGGAAACCCCGCGGCCGCGCACGGCAGGGACTCACTGGAGTGGGCTGGGGGGGGCCCGGCTCTCCGCCCGTGCGCCCCGCGACTCGGAGCCAGGGGCCGACACCCCAGTGCCGCGGAGGAGCGGCTCCCCCCTGCCCGGGCCCCGCCTTCGCGCACCCGCCCCCACCTGCCAGGGGAAGGAGCGCAGCGGGCGGACGGCCAGGAAGAGGCGCTCGAAGCTCTGCAGCAAGCGCGCGTCCTCCACGCCTTGCTCGGGCGCCATGGCGAAGGCGGGGTCGCGGCGCGGACCCGGACACAGCGCGCTGTTGGCTACGCCCCAGGAGGCGGGCCTGGAGGGTGCGCGCGCAGCGAGGCGGGGCTAGGGTAGGGCTGGCGGGGGAGAGAGACCGGGCGGGGCTTAGGGAGGGGCAGGACATGCACTAGGTAATGGGAACGAGGGGCCGGGCGGAGCCGCGGCTTGGGGGCGGGGCTTAGTCCGC